GGGGGTGCTGCTGTAAACAAAGCAACGGTGACGTCTAAAACTTCCGTGGGAATTTAATTGTTGGTTTCTGCTCATTTTCTTGTATTAATATGATATTAATAGCCGTACTCTTTGCACTTTCGTCCTGCTTGTTGAACTTCTAAAAAACAGTAGTCCTTCAATTCTGTCAAAAACACAAAATTGCTGACAGAATTGAAAAGTTCGCTAATAGAGACCATACGATTTTAGGACGGCAACCGCTACCAATACAATAGATCATTGAAAAGAATTGAGTAATTACAATATATGAATAATTTAGACATTGTCCTCGCTCTGTTTACAACGCCAAATCACAGATTTTCACGTCTTGATACAACGGCTGCATTCCAAGCCACAACAAGTGCAACTTCAGACCGGGTTCAGCAGAACTCTTTCCAAACATAAAACCCATGCCTTCAACTTCTAAAACTGTATTAAATTCATACGATTGATAATATACCACGAACTATCTTTTCTACCATTTATTTCAAGGAGTTTGTTTTGGCCGTCGCGTTGCCGTCCTAAAATCGCAAGGTCTCTAATATCTCTTACCTGACGACAGTCAATGCCATTGACGCAGAAATATCAGCCAACTGACAACACACTCTTCTTAATACCAGTTGTAGACTGTGACAACACGAACCTGAGAAGACACGAAATTGATATACATACATGCAAACTAAACGATGTACAACAAAAATCCGACGGTGCGATCATCAAAGGGTCCTCCTATCCCAGAAAAGTTGCAGTTGGTCAGGAAGTTGGTCAACTTGGCTCAACTGCAATTTCGGGATCCCTGCGAAGAGGCGTTCTATTCTACACCATTTTAAAAATATGACGTCTATGGGAGCTACCAATGAGATATTATCGATTACTTACCAGATAAATCTTTCAGCATTCCTTGAATGGTTGAAGTAAGAGGATTTAAATGAGCACTCCAGAGCAAGCGATGTTTGATCAGTTTTTCCACCTCGTCTTCCGGTAAATCCTACAAAACGAATACTGATTTGCAACAAAGAATGTACATCCATGATATAAAAAGATCTAAATATATCAATTAAGTGGGGGGCGAGGGATTTTAGGTGGCGCCAGCTCAAGTTTTAATATATTTATTATTAGCATGACAAAATTACTGGATGCTGATTGGTTGAGAGCAGTACAATTATTTCATTAATTGTACTGCAGTACAATTAATGATTTTCTCTAAACAAATAAAATGGCGGAAAGATATTTTAAACACAAATGTGAAATGAAATTGCCGTAGAGAAACTAGATGAAAATACGAACAAAAGCACCAAATTTTGCTTCAACAAAAGAACTAAATGAAAATACGAACAAAAGCACCAAATTTTCGTTCAAAGTCTGGCAGGACTGCGCTTTGGCGAGAGAATATGATGTTGACATTGAGAAGTATCCAATTTTGTCATGCTAAACAAGTAATCATGCGATGTTGCTCGTACAATTAGGGATTAATAGTTCTCGTGATGTTTGGAAACTCGCCCCGGCGGCTCGTCCAATTTCGGCAAATTTTATACTTATTTCCGCAGAAAGATCCTTGAATGACTAAAAATAGTTTGAAAATATGCTGAAATGAATATAAACAAAGGAGAGTTACAGTAAAAAACAAACTGCAATATCAACATTGTTTGCCTGGCTTTTCTCGAATTGCCAGTACTCGCTGGTAATAATCTTTAGCCTGGTTCAGGTCACCTTTATCACGATAAGTGCACTACACCAATGTTGTTATAAGAAACTGTAACATCAATATGGTTTGGACCTAGTTGCTTTGATTCAATTTCTCTTACCTCTAGAGTGTTAATCGGAAGAGGAATGGGCAGAAGTTCTGAGAGAAGTGACAGACCGCCGAGGAAGAACTGGGGCCGAGACATTGTACACTGCAATAACTCTTTCAACATCAATAACCAAACACTGTTATTAATCGCTTCTTCAGTGTCCGTAGTCTGCAGGACTGGTCGAGTGAAGGCCATAAGTACGTCGACTATTTCATTCTGTATTTTTTGTGCGATGGAGGAAAGCGACCCTGACACGGAACACATGACACTGTAGAGGGCCATAAGTTCTGTCAACAGGCGGGTGTCTTTGAACTGGTACACACTGGTTGATAATAATTCTACAAAACGAACAAAACTTAAATTGACTCGATGGTTCCCGTTATTTTGGGGACAGATGATCTGTACAAATGCAGCAAGGAATATCACCTGTAGTCCAAGGCTGGTGTATGGTCTGCGAGATAAATCCACATAACAGCGACTTTTTATAATTTTTTTGACGAATGATGGTAAATTTGCTTTGTAAATGGTTAGTTTATTTTGAAAAATTGCTTTTCACATTGTTTTAATTGTCTGCATTGGTTAACAAGAATTAGATGCCACCCAAAAATGGCGGATATTGTCATCGTAAGAAAGGCTAATTAACCAATCAGATGCACTTAACCTACCCGATTAACCAATCAAATGGTCGTGTTGACTGTTCACCGAAACCGCGCCCACAAACTTACCTGCCAGCAGTCGATTGACACATGCTAGCAACGGTAGTACTATTGAGACGACATAGTAACAATGTCCGCTTGTAAATGGCTGCCCCTGGAGCCAAGGTCTCTGCAAGAATTCGTTAATCTTCTGTGTTAATTTGATGAATACATCCATTGCGTTCGCTGAAAAGAGTTGAATACACGCCACGTTGTAGGTGAGGTCTTTCTGGCCACCTAGAGAAGTAGATATGAAAAATATAATTTTAATAGTGATCTTGGTAAAAATTTTGAAAACAATGTATGAAGAGGGTATTTTATTGTATGTTACGTACAGGCGCTCAAAACTAAGGAGTATAATCATAATTTTTTTATGTAATGTTTCTCAATCAGCAAGAGATGTCCAGACTTCCACTACTGCTACCATGAAGGGACCATTAACCAATCAGATGCGTTTGATATATCCGATTAACCAATCAGATACGTACTAAGCCACAAACAGTTAGTGGTAGCGGTAGTCAAATCTGAACCTCCCCCTATTGCTCAGCATCGTCCAACACTTCAACATGTTTACTAACATACAACTTTAATCTGACAATTTTTAATTTTGTCATCATAATGCAAAGCCAAAAATCCACGGGAAAGCAAAAAGCAAATGTTGCATTTCCATAAATTCAACATGGGATAAGCGAACAGAAGACAAGTCAGTGTCGAATTCAGTGGCGTGCTGGCAGGGGGGGGCCGGGGGGCCACGGCCCCCCCAGCTGGCAATTCGTGCAGGGCGCAAAAATGAAAAGAGGGCGCCGATCCCGCGCCGTGTTTTGAAAGTGGGTGGGAAAAAAAGCATTCGAAAAAATATGGTTCCTTCCGCCGAGAAAAGATGTGTTTATAGGCTTATAAAGCAGACCAAGTGCATAGGCGACAAAGTGATATATTAAATTATACAGACTATTTTGTCTAACCGTATTTGCTAATTTGCTACCTCACGACTCACACGAAATCGTTCATATAGAAACATGAACTGTGATCGCACGCAATGTCTCATCACCGGAATATTGGTCAGGTTTCGAAGCGATCACGGGAATTATGCTCTTTTTTGCTCGTATTATGCCCTTTACTATGCTTCACGAATCACAAGAGCGGCGCAAATTGGATAGTTTAAGTTATGATAATGTAAAGTTGTGTACGCAATTTAGTTGTTTGCGCCAGAAACATGGAGTAGTGTGAGTAATGAGATAATGCTGAAACGCGCCCTTTTGGCAGCCAGGCAGGGAAACCTTAAAATGCATATGCGTTGGGTCCGTGTGTTATTGTATAAATAAGCTGTATGTTGTAATTGTATTCAGATCACTGGATCAGTAGAGAATAGAATTGGGGTTAGATTAACCGCTGGAAGTTGTTAGCATTGCATAATATAAGTACTACTACTAAATTCAAACCAAATTGCAAATTTCGACACGTTATAATGCCGTTTCCTGACCATCAGATTTCTGTCAAATCTTTCCCCCAAAGTCCAGGAAACGGCATTACAGAGACTCTAAATTCAAAAATTTTCCTGGGGGGGGGGGCATGCCCCCGGACCCCCCTAGACAAACCTCGCACCTGCGGCGCTCGGCTCGTGCCTTCGGCCCTCGTTTATCAGGCGAAACATTATAGGGGCGCATATTTGTTGACAGCCCACTGCCCCCCCCCAGAAAAATAGTACCCAGCACGCCACTGGTCGAATTTACTGGTCAAATTCATAGAGTGATTACTGCGCATGCTATTTGGTAGATCATATTGGTTCCTACAATCATTGCATGTTCAATAGTATACATACGAATAATTATACGCTGTTTCCGTATAAGTAATTCCAGCTTTTAGCTTATGCGTGCAGGGGACGATGGGAAGTAAGGTATCATGCACATAGTCTATTATGCTGAAAAAATAAAAATGGTGGCTGGGTAAACACGGAGTGATAGCTTATACTTGTAAATATTGAGATATTTCGGTTGTTTCGGTAGTTTTTATTGAAATGTTTCAGCATAATCAGCACTACGATACCTTACTTCCCATCATCCACTGTAGGCATAAATTAAAAGCTGAAATTGCCTATTGATCCAACAAAAAAACAAAAAATGTTTCAGTGAAATAAGGAATTTTTAAGGCAAAGCTTTAACCAGGCCAATATAATATTCAAAATTATTTAATTATTTTCAAATATACCACATTTTTGAATTGAATAAGTATTAGCTCATTCTATGGCTTAATACAGGTGAATGGTACAATTGTATAGTACAAAAACAATATAGTGTCATCATGGCTTGAAGAAGGCTCTGAAAACAACACTAATTTCACATGATAAACATAATGCAATAACTTTGGGAGCTCATTACGCAATAGTGCAAGGCAACCACAACTATTACAAATTCCTTGGCAACAGCTTGAAATTTCCTCAGAAATTTTCCAAAATTCCCTAACTCGCTTCACACTTAATATTAATTTCACATATCGGTTCACAAATCAATTATTCGGAAAACGTACGATTTTCAAGCTATTAATCTAATTGGTTTCTAAACATCACAATAAATCAAACTAAGATCGTTCAAATCTCTAAACAAAATCCTGTAAACTCACAATTTACCTTTTAAAACTATGTAAAATTCCTCTTTTCAAGGAAAAATCTTCAGGTGGCAGTTGTTTACTTAGCGCCTGCTATCACAGCTGCTATTGTTTGATTCCAAGAAAACGAATGCTTTTCACCGGAAACAGGATATGTACAAAGTAGAATCATAACAAAACAGATCGCGTTTAAAAGTCGAACAATATGTCTTAAAAAGGTGATTGAAAATCATATATCATTTTACTGACACATCGTAGAGTAAGTCACAAATACTGACGATATTAAACGACGAGAGTCGGTGAGAAAAGCGATTGGCGCTTTCATTTTCTCACCGGCCATTCGTGGCTATTTGTGACAACACAATGGAGTCAATAAAACTATTTCTCAAAGAGGTTACAGAAGAGTTGCTATACAATATCGTGTATGATGAGGATGAGATCGACTATCGCAACTTAAGCATAAATTTCGAGGAGAAAACTGGCCATCGACCCATGGATTTTTTTGGTTTCGGTAATCAAACCGGTCGCGGATGGTTGCAATTCATAAGAGGAATACCCGGTGTGCAAGGCAAAAATAACATATGTATTGAGGATAGCAACGATGTCTATGACGACAGCAACTCTGATGATAGTGAGAACGAAGACCATGTTTATAAAGAATTTAACAGCACATACTTGTACGTAGCAACAGCGAGCATCTCCGTCGCAGAATATCGAGAGATGATTTTGATTAAATGTTGTGAGATAATGGAAGATAACTTCGCTGACTTGAGCAGTTGCAAGGACGCAAACGGTAATACACCATTACACCTCATTGCGGCCCTACCTGGTATCACTTTTGACTGTGACACTTTAGTGAAATATTTGTTGCAAGCTGGTGTTGATCCACTAGCAGCCAACAACGATGGGCAAACATTTCTGCATATTATTTTTGGTAGATTTGAAGCAGAAAACGTCGCTAATGGTGCACCGGTGTTTAAGAATGAACGCCTTGCTAAAACAAAATGGTTCATTCAGGACAGAGTCGAGCTATTAGAAATACTTTCCCAAGAATTATCACCGACATACACTGCTGTGTTGGCAAAGGCACAAGACAAGAATGGCAACACGGTGCTACATGAATACGCACTGTCTACAAGTACAGCGGAACACGAATCCGTTGAAAAGAAAATTTGCAAAAAATTACTAAAGTTTGGTGCAAGCTTGAGAGTTACAAACGACTCTGGCGATGTTCCACTTCATTACGCTCATACTCCTGAACTGTTCAAGATATTTCTTCAGAATGGTGCTGTTTGTCGGGCAAGAAATGATCGCGATGAATCACCAGTTTTCTTTATCTTGAAAATATCGGCCGATCTTGCGTTTGCTCAAACCTCTGCGACTGCAGAACTGGCGAATCAGGCTTTTGTGAAAACAACCAGTACCAGATCTGTTCAAAAAGCTGTACAACTACTGAAAAACCTAAAGAGCATAGTTTCACAAAACAAAGATGCCATGGAAACGGTTTGGATTCCTGACATAAAGGGCAACGTCCCAATCGATATAGTGCTGATCGCTATACGAATTGGATCGTATGATTTAAGCAGAATGGCATATTTTCTTTTCGGCACAACTGTGGTTGAGCTGTGCTCATCTTTGGTAAAATTATTAAGTGAAATGCTACGCAATGCAACAACAAGTGATATGAAACGACAAAACAAGAAAGGCCAAAGTTTTCTCCACGTGCTACTTGACGTGGGCGATGACAACAAACACACGATAATTAGAGAAACCGAGATATGTCAGAGCGTGGCAATACTTCTGGAACACGGCGTCGATGTAAACACAGTTGATTCAGAGGGACGTACCCCTCTAGACATTGCCCACAAGCATCACGACAAACGACCATCGCTTTACCAGAAATGCGCCGATTTGCTAATTAAGCACGGAGCTAATGGAAAACGTGATAAAAGGAACATTTCCTCTTCACCTTCACCTTCGACATTATCTCCATCTATTTCCGAACGAATGTTAAATTTACGTATTCGCAACCAAGTACGGAAGCTCCGATCGTGTCCGACGCGTCATTTGAACAACGCAAAGCGTTTAACTACTGCTCCTGCTACCGAGGTCACTGTCGTAGGAAAGTACCGTTATTCCAATCAAGACTTGATTGGATCTGGCGGATTCAGTTCAATCTTTCTAGCAATTAAAGACGAGAACGTTGACAGCGGATCTGGGACAATCGAATGTCGAGCTTACGCCTTGAAACGAATAGAGAAAGCAAAGATGAACCCCAAAGAGATCAAACGAGAAATTACGACCTTGCTTTCTATATCTGGCAAGTGTGAGAATATCATCAAATGCCACGAAACTGTTGAAGAAAAGAACTTTCAGTACCTCTGTCTTGATCTTATGGACGGTGATCTCAACGAGTTTGTCACAAACGACGATGTAAATAAAGTTCTAAAATCGAATCCGGCGACAAGTATGCAAATTACCAAACAGATTATCGATGGTTTAATATTCCTTCACAAAGAGAATTTGATTCATCGCGATCTCAAACCTGGCAACATCCTGTACACAACAGATCCCACTTTGCATTTCAAGATCGCCGACTTCGGGCTGACGAAGAATACGTCGAGTTCATCCTCGATGACGTCTACCAGAGGTGTTGCCATGGCACCTGGTACACGTTGTTGGATGGCGCCAGAGCTGGTCAGCATGAATTCAAGAGAACATACCCAACAGTCCGATGTCTTTTCCATGGGCCTGGTAGTTCATTATCTTCTCACTCTTGGCAAGCATCCTTTTACAACTGGAAATGAAGAACCGGCTCACGTTATTGAAAGAAAAATCGTGGAGAAGCCTGCAAACCTCGATCGAGCGTTGCCAGCAGAAGTCACTAGTTTTCTTCAGGTTCTTTTGACAAAGGTTCCTTCCAAGCGACCGCCAGCAGCATACCTCAACCAGCATCCCTACCTTTGGAGCGATAAAAAGAAGATTGAATTTCTGAAAGCAGTAGGCGATCAACAAGAAGCTGCTTTCCCGGCAAATAATCCCAACTCGGTGTTGGAGCTACGTTTGCAAACTACAAACACTGGTCAAAGTGTCAGGATTCTATCCTGGGATCGGGCTATCGGAAAGTTGTATGAAGAAATGACCAGAGCTTGGAAACTTAAGAAGTATCGAACTGACAAAGTAATCGACTTGATAAGATTCATTCGCAATGCATACGCTCACAAACAAGAGAGGTCCCACCAGACACAGCAAGATCTTGTTGACAACATTTTCATTCGGGTGTACCCTTCTCTTGTACTTGATGTTTTTGGTGTAGTACAAGGGTTGGGGTTTGAAGAAACCCGTAGCAGTATTCGTGAGGCTTTAAGCTTGAACACATGACATTGACACAACTTCAGATAAGGTACCACATCAAGACATCTCGAACAGTCGGTGCCAGTGTTGGTAGCGATGAGTAGAAACAGCAGAGCTTTGTAGAAGATACAACTACCTGACATATACAAAAAGACGTTCGATGTTTCGAGCGAAGCCGAAAGACTTCAGGTAGTCGTATAGTCTACAAAACTTTGCCGTTTGAACATCAAAACCTATCTATGTTCAGGGCAGGATTAACCCCGGTTTCCATTTGGTGGCAAGTAACTGTCACGACCAAGGAAAAATTTCGCTGACCTCAGAATGACATTTCGTCAAAAAATTTTTCTTCAAGATTGGTTTAGAAACAAACTTGAGGTAGGGTTAGGTTAGGGTTAGGGTAACGATTAGGGTTAGATTTGGTGTTTGGAATAGGGTTAGTGTTAGTAAAACCGTTACTTTGTTACGTTTTGTCATTCTGAGGCCAGCGAAATAACCTCTTCCCACGACCAACTCGTGTTAGGCAATATGAAATTAGTCTGGATCTATCTTGCCGTTTGTATAAAAATTCACTGTCTGTGGGAATATACCCACGCTGCGTCACCTTGATATGTCCACGACAGTTACGACTCAACGGAAACTAGGGTTTACTCTAAATTGCACCTGCTTGTTTGTGAAATGATAGCAAAATTAGTTTTCTTTAGAAAAAAAAATAATAACCAGAGTTCAGTGGTGTAACTTAGTGCTGGCTTGGCCGGGCAAGCAGAAGTTGCTTCATGGCGGGCAATTGATTTTTCCAGAAATTAATTGCGACACTAAATTGTTTGCTTATGTTAGGCATTCTATTAATAAATCAGCTGAAATCAACACTTCATATTCAAGTCTTGCATATTAAATTTGTTAAGGAAAACATAAGATTAGAAAGGAAATTAATCAATCCTTACTGCAATAATTTGCTTCAAGTTTTATTAATATGGAAGAGCAAAACTATACCTGTGGCAAGTTATTTTATTCCAGGCAACCAATTTGCCTAGTTAGGCCAACAAGTAATTCATTATCTCGTTAATTCCTTTAGATTCCTATATTATGTACGTATCTACCTAATTTCAATAAAAATGTAACTTCATTATTTCATAATTAGATTATTTCCAAGATAGATTATTCCACTATAGGGGTTATATTCCAAAATCCTTTACGTTCCTAGCCCAAATGACAATTTATTGAGTACCAGATATTACAATTATCAATAAGACATAATTAAATTATACTTTTTTGAGGGTACAAGCTTACTATATATAAATAGGTCGACTGAAATATTATAATACCCAAATACAGTTAATTGTTTTATTTGTATTAGTTACTCTTATAATATGTAATTTCTTTTATATAAAAAAAGCTACGTCATACCACTGGAGTTACCCTGTTACATTATTAGAGAGTTTAATAAGTTCTTTGTATGATTGCATGGTGATAAAATATACAACACTTTTTGTTTGTGGAAGAGAGTTTAAGTTCGACTTCCGATACCAATACCGATACTAACAACATGTCATGCGCATGCTCTCTGCTCGCAAGAAGCACGAGGAAGTCACACTACCGAAGTCGGCCTTGTATTGGAAGCCGGGGGAATTGTAAGATAAACTCATATAAATCGGATATTTCTAACTCAGCTGCCGTTTAGTATACCGCACATTTTCGGTGACGATTAATGTGTTCTATACTTTATCTGTCGTGATAACTTAACGCTTTCAAATTCCCGGTACCAAAATGAGAACGAAAGTGATAAGTGATGGCAGTAGCGTAGCCAGCCCGACGATTTAGTCCCGCTATGTAAATATTTTCGTGTTCATTGACTGTGAAAACAATCAATTTCTAAAGAAATGAATAATGATAATAATTTTGAATTTACATAGCGGGACTAAATCGTCGGGCTGGCTACGCCACTGAACATTGGTATCGGTATTGGTATTAGAAGTCGAACTTAAACTCTCTATTATGATGCAGCAACCCCTACCATTTAATACTACGCCGTTTTCACCATTCCCTCTACCAGCATGGTGCAACATTGGATGGCGCAGATACACGTACGCTTAGCGTACCTATTTTGTGAATTAGTTTCACCATGAATGTCTAAATTATTCATATATTGTAATTATTCAATTATTTTCAAGTTTATTGTATTGGTAACCGTTGCCGTCGTAAATCGTAAGGTCTCTGTTAGGGAGTTTACGCAAGTACGACGGCGGCGTCAGGACGACGGCTAAACAAAGTTTTTGAAATAAATGATTGTATGAAAATGTTGTCCTGCTTTTACTTTCTTATCAATTTAATACAGTTTCTAAAACTTTAACCTTCAGAGCAATTTTGATCAACGCTGTTCGAAAAATCGCCTGCAACGGCTTGAAATGCTAGCGTATACTTTCGAAGATGTGAAAATATGCATTTTGCCGTTGTCAACAGAGCCTGGACGACGTCTGAAACTCTAGCTTTAATTTAAATTATTCATTTCTTTTGTGCTATAGGATTAATGATACTGTATTGATAGCCGTCGTCCTGACGTTGCCGTCTTCCATTCGATGCGTAAAGTCCCTAATGTCGTTATTCTAATAACTTTCCAAACCATCTATTGTATTAACCACGATTAAAGTTATGTATTCTAATAACTGGCCTCGAGAAAGGCCGTGAAAAATTATTAATACTGTTTCCGAAAAAAAACCAAAGATACAAGCATGGCGGCGGTAAAAGTTATATAGCAATGAATATCGTGCAATGATTGTGGGAGCCGATTTAATGCAGTTTTAGTCACGCATCACAACAAATGTGCCGTTGCTGCCATTGATCCAATCGGATTCAGAAAATTTTAGTCCAGTGAAACGCCGCCAAAAATGTCGACAAGAATAATAAATTAGGAGATATATGAATTCCATGCATTTCCGACAGTAAATAGACAAATTTATATCATCAAACATTATGCATTGATTGTCGTAGCCGATTTGTGTCTGTTCGTTGTTGAAACACGCACCGACTACAATACAGTGCTTCTTCTAGTTAATCACCATATTCTAAAGTGCTGCTTTTACTTAGTTATTCACCATATTCGTGATATTTGATTGGACCCAGACAAATTTTTCATTTCATTGAACATCATTCAACAGGGCCGCCGAAAGGTTGGCGGGGGCCCGGAGCAATTTTTTTTGGGGGGCCCCTACCCTATCAAAAAATTTTTTCGGAGAACAACACCCCCCAGTCGCCAAAAAATTTTCGGTCAGTGTACCATTTTAGGGGTAAAAAAAAATTTTCCGGAGTTGCAATTGCTTTCCAGGGACTTTATTTCATTTTTTATGCCAAATTTCGGTACTTAGCCCAAGAAAACAGATATGTTGTCCTTTGTGCGGAAATATTTAACACACAAAAAAGACTGGGGCCCCAAAGAATTTTTCAGGGGCCCCCAGCACATCGGGGCCCGGGGCATTTTGCCCCCCCCCCTCCTGCCCCCCCCCTAAGCGGCCCTGTCATTCAATGATTGTGCGGACTACAGAATAGGGATCTAAATTCTGTCGTGGGATTGGACTAAATATTAATTAAAATTTTGGTCTCAACTAGCCTAGACAAAATTCCATCACAGCATGAAAGAGCATCACAAAATTAGTAATATTCCAAAGTTTCATTGCGAAATGTTGTAAATGCGGGTAATATGGCCTTGCGAAATTTCCAATTTCCAGTCATCTACCACTTTTCCAAAATTTTGGTCTCAACTAGCCTAAAGAAAAATTTCATCACAGCTTGAAAGAGCATCTCAAAATGCGAAATGTTGTAAAATGCCGATAATATAGCTTTGCGAAGTTTGTAATTTTCAGTCATTTTGTATACCACTTTGTAAAGAGATCGCGTTTAAAAGTCGAACAATATGTCTTAAAAAGGTGATTGAAAATTATACAGTCGAACCTCTATTAAGCGGCCACCCTCGGGGATCGGCTTTGTGGCCGCTTAATAGAGGTACGCAAATAATAGACCCTGGGCGTAGTCAAATGTCTATTTTTAAATATTAAATCACAGAATACAATAGTGATTTTATCTTTAATTCTTAGTTTCATCTACTATAACATTTTTTCACAGGCATACATTGTGCCAACAACACGAGGACATCACACTATTATATTTCACACTAAACCTTTTGAACAAACATTTAGGGACTATGTGGCATAAATTTATTACTAGGACACCAATATGGTTCTCATTACCTATATCTAAACCTAAGGCTGGCCGTATAATAGAGGTAAAAATTGATATAAAACATCATTTGGGACCGCCCTTTGGGTGGCCGCGGCCGCTTAATAGAGGTGGCCGTTTAATAGAGGGATAGTTTATAGTATTTGTATTACAAAAATTTCGGGACTTCGATATGTGACCGTTTAATAGAGGGTGGCCGCTTAAAGGCCTGATTCCACGGGCGCTTTTTCTCGGCGAAATGCGAAATATTTCGCCTGTTTCTTTTGAATTGCGACCACTCGAATAAATTATTTCTACTTGATTGCCCACAATTCAAAAGAAACAGGCGAAATATTTCGCATTTCGCCGAGAAAAAGCGCCCGTGGAATCAGGCCTTAATGGAGGGCCGCTTAATAGAGGTTCGACTGTATATCATTTTACTGATACATCATAGAGTGAGTCACAAATACTGACAATATTAAAAGAAGAGAGTCGGTGACTTTGTAGGAGATACAACTAAGGATTAAGCCTGGTCTCCATTTGGTCGCAAGCAACTCTCGCGACCAACTCGTGTTGGGCAATAAGAAATTAGTCTGGATCTATCTTGTCTTTTCAGTGTGTTGTATAGAAATTCACTGTCTGTGGAAACATACCCACGCTTGGTCATCTTGATATGTCCACGACAGTTACGACCAGGCCTTAACATATCTTTTACTGGGCCGTCTGACAAAATGTCCGGTGACGTTGAGTTTGGGTCGGACATATGTCCGATGACCTTTAGTTCAGTTTTGACTCGGAAATAAGTCTGAATGACATGTACAAATGAATATCAGCACAATGTATTAATTCTCAAAGGTAAATGTTGTGAAGATATTAAATAATTCGTTTCATTCATATTTATTTCCAAGCCAAAATTAACTTGCTTGCCAAAACAGCAGTAAGAGTTCGACAACTTAAGCCCGTTTTCCACTTCACCATTTCGCTCGCCGCCCCGCGCTCGATTAGCTACGTTAAAACAACACTTCCAGTTCACTTTCTATACAATACTCAATAGTCCTCTGATTTTCCATTTAACATACGGGACTCCAGTCCTGGGATAGGGTAAATTTTGATTTACGTTGAACAAAGCTACAGTTAGGTCGGTCACCAATTCACTCGGGTCGGACAAACAATACACCTCAGCTTCACTTAGGTCGGACAGAATGTCTGGTGGTTTCCTCTCTACGTCGGACAATTTCATGAATGGGTCGGACAATGTCCGTGACCGACCGATAGTTTAACGCCTGGTTACGACTCAACGGAAACTAGGGTTTACTCTGAATTGCACCTGCTTGTTTATGAAATGATAGCAAAATTAGCTTTCTTTAGAAAAAACATAACCAGAGTTTAGTAGTGTAACTTGGTGCTTGCTTGCCCGGGCAACCAGAACTTGCCTCATGGCGGTCAATCTATTTTTATTTTTCCAGAAATTAATTGCTTATGCTAGGTAGTCTATTAATAAATCAGCAGAAATCAGCGCTTCATATTCAAGTCTTGAATATTAAATTTGTTAAGGAAAATATAAGATTAGAAAGGAATTAATCAATCCTTACTGCAATCATTTGCTTCAAGTTTTATTATTATGGAGAGGCAAAACTAGACCTGATGGCAAGTGAATTTTATTCCATGCAACCAATTTGCCTAGTTAGGCCAACACATATAACAAGTATTCATTATCTCGTTAATTCCTTTAGATTCCTATATTATGTAAGTATCTACCTAACTTCAATAAAAATGTAATTTCATTATTTCATAATTAGATAGATTCTTCCACTATAGGGGTTATATTCCAAAATCCTTTACGTTCCTAGCCCAAATGACAATTGACAATAACAATTTATTGAGTACCAGATATCATACAATTATCAATAAGACAATTAAATTATACTCTTTTGAAGGTACATGCAAGCTAACTGAAATAACAATTATGGGCTAAACTAGTTAGTTAGCTGTACAACATAATTTGCATAAATAGGTCTACTGAAATATTATAATACCCAAATACAGTTAATTGTTTTATTTGTATTAGTTACTTTTCTAATATATAATTTCTTTTATATAAAATAAAAACTAATGCAGCGGCCCCTACCATTTAATACCATGCCTTTTTCACCATTGCCTCTACCAACATGCAGGTGCGAAATTGGGATGGCGCAGATACACGTACGCTTAGCGTACCTATTTTTTGAATTAGTTTCACCTATGTCGCAGATTTACTACCGGCTTCGCTTCTCAACAATAGATGCATTATCCAATCTAAGTTCAGACCAATGGGTTCACCCCATGAAACGCCGTCAAAATATAGCGAATGATGGATTCAAAACCTGTGTTTGTCATAGAATATTTATTTTAAAGTTATGTCGATTTGAAATATTTAACCAATTAAGTAATACGAATTAACATCATAAATATTTATCTAAACTCTAAAAAACGGTCTTGGCCGACTTACAATTTATAATATTTCGCGCCTGCACACGCGAAATTTCTGACCCGTCGGCCGTCACGCTTGGTCAGGTATTTCGCAGAGGTCAGGAATTTCGATTGACAGTTGACACTGTAACGGGCTCGAGATTTCATACTTATTCAGTTCTAATAACTGACCTCGTGAAAGGCCGTGAAAAATATTAATATATTATTTTGTTTGAAGAAATGTAAGAATTATTTACGCCAAAGATCATAGAAGCACAGAGTAGATAAGACATACAGAGACGTAACTGACCGTTGTAAACACTGCGGAAGATTACATTATCATGTACCCACTTTTTTTCAGGCGACCGGGCGAAAAATGATCAACTGCGCGTGCTCAGCAAGTTTAAAGTGAGTCGTCATCAGGTCGTCATCCAATCAGATGCATGCATCTAGTAACTTGCCGAGCATGCGCACAAAAAAGTGGGTACACTAGTTACGTCTCTGTATGTCTCTACTCTGTGATAGAAGTAAGATGCAGTAAAAGTTATATAGCAATGAATATTGTGCAATGATTGTGGGAGCCGATTTTAATGTAGTTTTAGTCACGCACCACAACAAATGTGCCGTTGCTGCCATTGATCCAATCGGATTCAGAAAATTTTAGTCCAGTGGAACGCCGCCAAACATTTCGACAAGAATAATGAATTAGGAAATATAGGAATTCCGACGGTAAACAAGACAAATTTATGTCATTAAATTAAACATCATGCAATGATAATGAATGATTGCCGTAGCCGATTTGTGTGTGTTCGTTGTTGAAACACGCACTGACTACCTCGATTTTTACTGACCGATAACTTTGATCCTAGTTTAAACTTTCCAAATATTTAGAAGCGTTGTAACATTTTGAGTTATTTGGTCTACACATCTTTTAAAATTTGCTCTCATTGGCTGTTTTATTAACTTTCAAAAACTTAAAAATCGCGTCGCGTTGTCCAATCGCGTCCGGTGTGTCTGGACCTTTACTTGTATTAAAATTCGCGCAGTACTACAGAATCCGCACGCGCACACACATTTTTTATCACAATTTATAAAAGACGAGAATTACCTTCAAGTGAGCTGGCTGTAGGTACAGTGAGATAACGTATAACGCGAACGGCAGTGAGAATACCACACGCAACATTTTGGTTGTTTAATTCATCCACCTTGCTAAAATAAACAAGTGCAATTTTATAAAAAGGGCATTTTTTTGACAACACAGAACGATTAGCGTGCAAATTAGTAAAATTAACGTTTTTATAGTTCAAGCATGCGCAAGTGAACGTATACATCCCTGTAACATTGCTTATTCGTGCAATGATTCATGGGAATGCGATGAAAATTGAGTATAACGCAAAGGACCATGGGAATGTCCCGACGCGTTGGGTAAGCGACTGGGGATGAGTTAACGTTTACATGACGTGGGGCTTCAGCATAGTCTCTTACTTTCTATGATGTATATATCATAGGAGTACGGAGTTCCCTATAACCTAACCAGACATTTTTCGTGTGAAATTGTGACTTAGGCTTGGCCTGATCTATAGGCCAGACAATCTGGGCTCAACGCGATAGCTGGCGTAGGCCTAACCTAAAGCGAGCCTTGTAGTAATGAAAATAGTGTACTTGGCTTTGCTTAGCTATGCATGCCCTACTTTGCATTGAATAAACGATGCCCTCCCATCTTAATTTGTTCCCGTGGGAAAGCTTACCTCTTTACAAACCCAACAAGATCTGGAATCGCCTTGACTTCAAAATTGACATCTTTTACTGGACTCAACCAATGACTGAGTTGCGCAAGGCCTAATGTCGACTCCTTGTCTAAAGAGAAACCAAAATTAAACATGTTCCTGAATGCAAACATATATAATCATAAAGAATATCTAACCTTGTCCAATATTCCACATCCTCTCACCAAATCTGTCTAAAATTTCAACATTTTCCAAACCTTAAAAAAAATCAAAAACTTAATCATACGGAACGAAAATGTCCTACTCACCCATCTTGTTTTAGGGCGAACGGCGAATTTCGCCAGAGGCTGTGTGTAATTCGCCGGTACTTGCAGTCATGACAAGCTGAATTTCTTAGCCCAGTCTTGCACTCGGGCAATATATCTCAACTCACAGCACCCTTGAAGCTTCGACCTTCAATTCGGCTTTGCATACTCGCTTTGCTCATCAATTAATAGCCAGAGCCTCAGTAGAGCAAAACAACAGTATTGGCCATACCGAAATTATTATTGGCCAGGACTTCAAACGGATACCTGAAGGGCTGCTTACTCTACTAGTGTTAGGGGATGTTCATATGAGGCGGTCTAGCAAGGATGAATCGTGTCACGAAAATTTTTTCCCGACGATAAAAGATCGTACTGGTATCAAGCTGAGCTAATTCAACTTTGAAATGTAATTTGGGATATTTATCAAAACCGTGATAAGAGCATTACTAAAAGAATCGTCCCGGACAAATGGACCAGTCCGCCTCCATATGAACAGCCCACTTAGCCTGCATAACAGACGGTCTACCCACAAGACAGAACACCCGAAAGACGGGCGATTAGTGCACAATTACCAGGGAGGCATTAATATGCTTTGAAAATTCCGTACCTTGAATGGTCAGAAGAATTAAAACAGATGCATATCGACTGGAAACACTTTTCTTCGATTTCGAGTCTTTTGAATCCGAACTCAGCTTGTCTATAAACATATATGCGTGATAAAATGTCAATATAACTGCACAAATAAACAGACACACACACCAAGACACACACAAAATAGTAAACACGGCCACATAAGCCCAATTAATGTACACAAACAAACAAACACGAAGAAAAAGAAAGAAATGTTCACGATGTTCTTACCAGCTTGTTCAACAAACGGTAACAAACATTCCAAATTGGACGACATTCCTAACACACTGGTCACAGCTGCTTTCCCTACAACACAAACAAACACGTCTCTTACCAGCCCTGTACATCACTTGCTTCTTGGTAAAAAAATTAAATTTAAAATTATATGGCATTTAAGATATTATCGGGATGGCCTGGACAGGAACCTCTATGAAGAACAGCCTAGAACTGAGAGAGGTATGTCGAATAGGGACTTCAAGAACCGCTAACCGCAAATTTCAAATCGTAATTTGAAGTCTAGCTGTTCGAAGTTATGGGCAACTTTGTGCACTAAAATTGGAGTATGAATTAGCTACTTTTAGCTGGCCTTACTTTGCCGTTGTACACGCGTAAAAATTGAGAAAATCAACAACTTGTTGCAAGTTGATATCGACAGGCGTGAACACGGTTGTGCGGCCCACTATGAACAGTATTGTCAACATGTTGTTACAACATTGTTCAACTGTAACAACTTGGAACAACATGGTTGACAACTTGTTCATAGTTGGCCGCACAACATTGCTCACGCCTGTCGATATCAACTTGCAACAACCTGTGCGTTTTTAGCCGTTGTAGGCCCAACTACGTTTCCCCATTGCGGTTTGCCGTAAACGTCAATCTTAAAGTGCCTATTACTTCTAGACTTACCTAAGGCAGTAAATGTCATGGAATACAGTGAATGTAAAGTAGAAAGAATATCAGCACCATCCAGGTCCACGCCAGATAAATCTACAAGGAATGTAGCAAGATACTGTACAGATAGAGAACTAAAGTACTGAATGTATATCATAATCCTCGGAATCTCACGCGGCAAACAGGAATTAAATTGTCGTCGGCAAATTTTTGCCAATGGCTATCAAACATTTATTATTTACCATATCAGAGTTACCATATGTTGTAGAGGAATCTATCCAATACATTAAAAAAAGTGTATATATATACACATCAACATAAGATTTCAACTTATCTATTGGTTATTAATAATCATCTTCAAATGGTCATTAAGGGTCAAAATATTGCGCTTGAATTGTTGATTTCATTAAATTGCAAGGGCTGTATAAGAGCAAGTTGTTCGATTCTCGCTACGGACTCATGCATGACACTCATGTGAAAAGAGTCAGTCAACGCTGAAAGTCGAAAGTCGTGGGGTTTTCTCCGGGTACTCCGGTTCCCTCTCTCACATGGAATGCTGACAGGGTGGGTTGGGATTACCCCCCCCCCTAACTGACCCTTCCACCATAGGTGTGCTCCGTGATCAGACATGAGTCATAGACACTAACTTTAGAATTATTTCTTTTAACATGCATTCTAATATCTTACCAGAACTGTGAGAAGATTTCAACTGATCGATAGCTTGTAGAGTCTAGAATAAAAGCAAAATATCATCATTTCATTCGACAACCAAGCATGTGGGTGGCAGAATCTAGATTGGCAACGTGCGCGCCGTACTAACGTTCAAAAATCAAGCACAAATATTTATGGTGTGGTATCCAATGTCACCAGAGTTCTTCCCGTTCTGACAAAACACTCCATCACACCATCTCTACCACAACCATTGCCATCATCATCATTATCATCATCATCATCATTATCATCATCATCATCATTATCATCATCATCATCATCATTATCATCACCATCATCACCATCATCAACATTATCATCATCATCCCCATAATCATCACCATCATCATCACCATTATCACCATTATCATCATCACCATATATTATCACCATTATCATCATCATTACCATCATTATCATCACCATTATCATCATTATCATCACCACAACCATCATTATCACTATAATCATATCATCGTCACCATCATCATCACATCATCACCACCATCACCAGCATAGTTTTAAATTTAAAACACATTACCTGGAGATGATAAATTAAGAGTAATCCCAAATGTTGAGGTGTGCAATGATCAGCCGCGCTGGAGTCACGGAGAAAGTCCTGGGAACAAATAATAAAATAGTCAAAATATCAAACGTTTTTTAAGTAAGAAAAAGGTGGAAATAAGACAATTATATACGATACAGAATTATTAGAAATAACAATTAAAACCACCAACCTGCAATGATGGTGCTTCACTGTAATGAAAATCAGTTTCCTACAAAAACGAGTTCGAGTTGACCGAAGTAAATGACTGTTAAAATTGGGACAAATCCAGGGAAAATTTGATGTAGTTCAAGTTAGAGGAGCTCTACTGTACAATCTTTTTTTTATCATAATCTACTTACTGTTTGTGCTAATATTCTTATAATCTCATTCGTACATTCAGGATCGGATGAAAGAAATAGCAAACCTAGGAATAAACAAAATATATGATTTTAAACTGAAATGATACATGCACACGAAGTCTCGTACAAAATATACAGTAAGAGTTTTCCTGATACAGTTAACCAAAACATTCTGCTGTATGTTACAAAAGAGCTCAACACTGACCTTCCTGTGTCTGAAGAACATAGAAGAAAATATCTCTTATGGCTGTAAACACAGGCGGAAGAAATCCAACGGGACATGAGAACAACACCAGAATAGACTCCAGAAGTTTCCTTGATGAGTTAAAAATCGATTATATTAATGGACCTTTCCCCTTATAACTAAAATTTCGATCTAGACAAAAATTTCATCACAGCTTGAAAGAGCATCACAAAATTAGTAATATTCCAAAGTTTTGTTGCAAAATCTTGTAAAATGCGGATAATATAGCCTTGCGAAGTTCGCCGTTTTTCAGTCATTTTGTATTACAAACGGGAAATTGACATCCGATTCGGGTGTTGGGGCTGCAATTTCCCGTTTGTAATGCAAAATGACTGAAAATTGGAAACTTTGCAAGGCTCTATTTTCCTCATTTTTAAACATTTCGCAACGAAACTTTGGAATATTACTAATTTCGTGATGCTCTTTCAAGCTGTGATGAAATATTTGTCTAAACTTGCCTAGATCAAAATTTTGGTTATAAGGGGAAAGGCCTATTAAACCGGCTCAAATGATACGAATACAAATAATAATGTGTCTCATATTGTACCTGTCAGTAAACATACGATAGAGCATTGGAAACGGATTCTTCGGTTCGTTATTCGCAGCGGTGATTTTAACTGATGTTGGGAAAGCCTGGGCATGAGGTTGCACCTAAAAAAACAACAAGTTTTTCAATTACAAAAGCATGTCCTCGGTCAAACGGAAATGAGAGTGGACGAGAAGCCGCAACTCTCGCTCGAGTTTGACCGGTTCAAATTTTGAGACTTTTGATTTTCGCCACATTTCCGCGTTTAAGGTGGCTCCCTACAGTTGTTTAAGCACATTGAACTCTAAGGGAACTGGAACGATAACTTGGTCGCCATCTTTCAAGCCACTCATGATGGCCGCCATGTACGAATGGAGCGAAAATACGCCACCAAAAAGACATTTGTTTTTGAGCACTAAATAGCTGTATTTCAACAAGGAAAAAAGCTAAAAACTTTCAACAATACCTGAAATTTAATACAAAACATGTTTCCGGAAAGTAGAGCAGTTTTAAAGTTATTTTTTCACGAGTCAAAGTGCGAAGTTTTTTTCGGCACGTTCAAACTTATGTAATATTTTGAATAGGAAACTGTTACCCAGGAAGTCTTTTTAGCTTCCAAAAAATCCCCATTTCACATAAATAGCAAATATTTTGCGTCATTGTGAAGACCTTATTTTTCGCTGCTGTTTCTTTACAATTGTATGGAGGCATCCATTTAAAATGAACACTTACCAACAATTCGTAAGCATTGATGAGAACTTTATGTACTTCCTCGAGACAGCCAATGATAATCTCAACATGCTCAGCATTGACCAAATCTTGGAGATCGATAGCACTGTTTTCATCATCCATCTCAACATTGTCTTGATCTTCCACGTTCGCTTGAGTTACTTCCTTTCTTGTTGCCATCACGTGATTTGTGCTTTTTATGATGCTGCGAAGAAAGTAAATTGTTCAATCTAAAAACACTCTGGGGAAAATTTTCCTGGCCAACCTTAAAATAATCCTAATTGGTTTAACTCAATATGCGGGTTAAATTTCCTGGCTATTTTAATGAGGCCTAAAGCGCTTTCCATTTAATGGCCTGACCTGTCAGACCCGAATTCTTTTCTCTGCATTAATGGAAAGATCTGGTCTATGTTTCTCAAATATCTAGCGAAAGCGGACCTCATTCTGATGTTATCTAAATTAATACGACACTGTTATGTATGTATATAGAATTGATGTAAATATGTTAGTGGTATTATTAAACTAGATGGCATTCCTGCAAGATGTAAGAAGATTCCCTGCGAAGATATTTTGTTAAGATTTCAGCCAAACCCAGCAGACAGACTTTCGCCTCCGCCCATTTTTAGGAGTTCTACGGCGGGCTGACAGTCCGCCACGCATGCTGGGTTAACCAGAAAAATTTTAACCAGAATGTAGTTAGACTTTTTGACAAAATGTCAGGCCTGCAGCCCACGTTATGGTTATAGAACACAAACGAGACAAGTTGTACAGTACATGCCTTAATTTAAAATTACTGCAATAAACTTACATGTCAACAACTTTCTGCAGATTTCCCAACATTTCAAAAATATGAGCTCTGTGAACCAGACTTGTGCCAGCCGTAACTACACGGACAGCCTATGCAATATAGACGAAATGTTGATGTAATAAAGATGGAAAAAACCTTTAAGCAGTAGTTGGGAATGGACGGATGCTAGTACGCTACATCCATATAGTCCAATGTGCTAGCTCCAAATTCAAATGCCCGAATATGTGCTTTAGAAACTTTAAATTACGAATTCTGGAGTTACAGGTAGTGATTATTTTAATTGGTATCAATTGAAAAAATCATCTCCAAAAATAGTCCAAAAATAAGGCTAAAATAGCTATTGCGCCAAATTCAAAAGCTATCGAGGCCGGATCTGCCTGAGTCTGTCTGATACTTGTGATATCCGGCCCTAAGAGAGAAGTGCATGTCAGGCAGACAAAAATATTTTCAAAATGCTGTGCTGAGTGGTTATATTACTACCTTAAAAAATAAGCAGAAACTCGACGTTTCGAGCGAAGGCCCTTCGTCAAGAGTTAGCTAACTCTTGACTTAGAGTAAGCTAACTCTTGACGAAGGGCCTTCGCTCGAAACGTCGAGTTTCTGCTTATTTTTTAAGGTAGTAATATAACCACTCAGCACAGCATTTTCACATTGGTATTACCTACACTGGTACAGACAGTTTTAGTAAAAATATTTTCAGGCTTCCAGTATTTCATACCTGTTCTGATGCAAGGAGATCCACGAGTTTTTCATAACCAGTTTTCGTATCTGTCTTGCTAGCTTCACCCTGAGAAAACAGACAAAATCAATGGATGATTCAAGTTATAGACTAAATTTTGATCTCGGCAAGAGGAACAAAATCCATCACCACAGCTAGAAAGAGCATGTTGGGATTAGTAAAATTGCAAAGTTTGGTTGCGAAATGTTGTAAAATGAGGAGAATATAGCCCTGCCAAATTTTCAAATTTTGTATTAATTTGTACCGGGTGGCGCAAAAAAAAGTATAACTGTTTGATTTAGTACAGCGAACAATCTATAAGGGTTACATCCCTGAAATAAACGTAGCTGTATTCATAATAGTCTAACTTAAATTTTGAGCTATAGCATGTTTATTTACGTGCAATATTGACTGGGATATCGCCAAATAAAATTTGGAACGAAGTTTTGAAAATCTGACAAATTGGCTAAAAATGGCCTATTAAACTGTTTTGATAAATTTTAGAATTTCGTCAGACATATTCGCTTGTATGAATTAATTTGAATTGAAACGTGTAACGAATGATTTTCCTTATTTATTTATTTGTTTTATTATCATTTGAAAAGCAACAAAATTTCGAAAAAGATGGCTCTTTTAATTAAGAATTGCTTCGCAGTATTCCATGTCCCATAGTTACAGGGAATTAAATTAGATCAACAACCGAACAATTTGAGACAGCTTCGTGAAGCGATTATCGCTGATTGCCATAACTTTGACCAGCAAATAAATCCAACGTTAATTCGTTCGATAGTATGGTCACACGTGCAAGAATATAGTTATTTAATTTTCCATGATAAACGCGTTATTTACTGCCGTTGTGTTCTTCATATATCGTTAATTCCTTTACTCGTATTTAATAGGCTATTTTCAGCTAATTTTGGAACGTTTTGAAATTGCATATTCAAATTGATTTACCAATATCTTGGGTAATACTAAACAAAAATGCATGTGTTATACATCAAAATTTAAGTTAGGCCTTCCTGGATAGGATAACATTTATTTGAGGAACGTAACACTTATAGTTTTTTCGCTGTACTAAATCAAACGCGTGAACTTTTTTTTGCGCCACCCGGTATTACGCACGGGAAAATGCACCACTTTCGGACCAAATATGGTGCATTTTCCCTTGCGTAATACAAATCGGCGGACAGCTCATTAAGTTTGGTCTAAATATTTCGAGAACTAAGCAAGATATGACAAATCGGTAATAGAGTTTAATATATAATTTTAAGAATTCTTTTGAATGAGACAAACTAATTTTTTTTGTTGTTGTCAATGTCCTTTACTTTTGCATATTAAAGATGAGGTCCACTCCGTTCTGCGCATCAGTTCTGCTCATAACAAAGGGGGACCCCCAGATATGAACAATGCCCAAATTTTGCATCTTTCGAACTGTTTTGAATTGAAACGTACAGTTTATATTCATTTACAAGTATAGCGAACCAGAAAAGTGTTAGATATTCAGTTAGTATATCATATTTTACAAATATAGCAGTTCAAACGTAAACAAAGTTCGTGCATGTGCACAGGAGTGGACATCATCTTTAACCTCCAAGTGTCAGCCCGCTATTCAATTTTTTATTACCATTGAATAATGGTTGAAAGCGAGGTACTTGCATATATCAAGGCTGGCTTACTTACATGTCTATCCCATCCAATGAAATGCTCCATTCCCAGGGGATATTCCACAGAACTGTGTAAGGCTACAATGAGATGATTACAGAGGTATACAAATTGTTTCCATTATAGAAACTAGAAGAAAATCAGTATGTCTCACTGGGAAGAAATTAGAAAGATTTATAATAAAATGGGTTTAAGGCCATGATACATTTCCTTATATAAAATAAATGAACGATTAAGAGAGAATTTGTTTCTATGTTGCGTATTTTAACGATGAAAATCTTTTGGCGTGCATCTCAAAATTGATTTGTTTTAGCTTTATTCTGTAGTTTATACAGTTAGCTACCTTTTTAAAAGCATTTCCCGGTTCAGAAATATAAATAATATAGTAAAAATTGTCAATTAAAATACAATTATCAATGATGCTTTAAAAGGGATGCCATATCTACAGCAAAATACATAAGCAAAACTTACTGAACTTCAGACATCATTTTCTCTTTGGCGTACCATCTAAAATCTCTTCATTTTAGCATTATTTTACAGATAAAGCACTAACAAAATATACTTTTTACATTTTTTATGCCGCTTGAGAAACATATCAAAAATTTAAAAATTTGAGTATAGTCAAAACCAAGTGGAAAAGCATTAGTTTTGAGCGCGTGTTACGTAACATACAAAAGATTCTCCTCTTAATACATTTGCTGTTATTAAATTATCGTTAACAGAGACTTTATGCTGGTCAAAACGTACAGTTACAGTACCTTGAAGAGCGACAAGTTTTACAGATGATGACATGTGTTCTGCTATTAGCAAATCATTAAGCTTTTCTTGAACATTCAAGTTCTAAATAATAAAATAATCCAACACTTTTAAATTCACATAATCAGACTGACTTTTCTAGGCCATGAGTAGGGCTGGAAAAAATAGGCGAGCACTGCTCGCAGGAAATGTTACTGTAAACAGCTGCAGGAAATTCGTTTGAATGAAGATTTGCTATTGAAAATTTGAAGGAAACCTTAGCACCCATGTCCCACTATGGGCGCAACAACATGTGGTTGACAGACATTATTCCTTGAATTTAAAACCATGCATTTAAAACAATGGTCAGCTAGAACACTATATGTTTATGCATATGCGGATTTAGCACAAAAATATTCAGTTTGTCCGCAGGAAATTTTTATCTCGTGCAAGTGTGCTCCCAGAAAGAAAATTCTTTTTTCGGAAACACTCTTCTCAAACTATACTGACGTGAAATTACAATATAATCTGACAATTCCATGAATCAAGCTGTACCCCATATATTACTGTGCCACCACTTTTTAGTCAGGCATTTTTAACATGAGCCTATAGACCCATTGCACTTGACGTCACAGCGCCGGTGACGATGCATCTGGAGGACAAATTAGTAATCTATGCAGCCTCGTACCCAGGCGCTTTAGTAATGAATAGCGTCCAGAGCTCTGGGTGCACAATATAACTTTTGTAAACAAAGCAAATTTTGTAAAACTTTGTAATATTTTTGGTCCGTTATATAACGAGTTGACTGTCTTTAAAAAAACGATTTATTTAATAAACTTACAACCAACATTCCACATGTTTTGGCGCCGTTTTCACTCAGCCTCGAAGCAAGTTTCATGCCAAATTTTAAACGACGAATGTTCGCCTGCAACAACAGCATACAAGAACAATGAGTTACCCATTTTTATTATATGGATATGAGTAAAATACCGTAAAATACGCCACTGATATTTCCCGTATTTCACTATAGTGAAATATGAAATCATATCTTACGCGGGAACGTCTCGCGCGGGGCCTACGCTAATTCCCGCCATTTTGCCGTTTCTGTTTTGAATATTCAATATGGCAAATTCTCGACATTTTGTTAATGTTTCCGACGCTGATTTGGCAAGGTTTTCTGAAGAAAATGAAAATAAAAACACAAAAAGGAAGACTAAGTCCGATTTGGCGATCTTCAGCGACTATTTAGCCTCTATAAACGAGCGGAGAGACATAACATTGTTGCCGTACGGTGAGCTACAAAACATCTAGTTGATGAAATTTATTTTGGCCATATAATAAAAAGAACATTTGACGGTGGCTTTGGAAATATGACTTTTATTTTCTCGTGTTGAAAACAATATTTTACTCACTCGCTGCGCTCGTTCGTAAAATATTGTTTTCACCACTCGAAAATAAAAGTTATATTTCCGCGCCACCGTGAAATATCCTCTATATATATACTTAGCCACTCAATACCTAGACTATTAAAAAGATACACTTACAGCAATTGGAAAATTCCGTGCTTCGTCGAGGTCAATAGCGTTGAGAACAAGTTCGACCAATGTGTGCAGTAATTCTAAACAACAACAAAATTCATTTCTATTTCAAACCATCCTCAGATATGATAAACTAAAGTTCATACATGTAGAAAATCCTTCTAGATATACTGCGCCAATGCGCAGTTTTTCTAGAAGGATTTTCTCAGGCAAGACGAAATTTCTCTTGACCAAACTGAAAAATTTAAAAACGTAATGCTAACCTTCGTGTTGGCCAGAGTTACAAAGCTGAAAGAAAAATATTATATTGTTGTTAATACATAGTTTCAGGGTTTTTTTCCAGGATTTTCTCTTGGGTCCGTTTTTGCAGAAAAGATTGAGTTTAGCTGAACAGCTGGGGTGGCTGCACCCCCCCCCCCCCTGACACCTGTACTCAATAAATGTAGTTGAGATGCAAAGTGTTAAAGCAGGGGCACTAAGGGACACTATAAACTGGTTAAAGATGGCGAATGCATAGTTTTTCTTGTGTTGTGAGATGAATTCCAGCCATTTTCTCTTAATTGTCGGGTTTCCAACTGAAAACTAATTTCCACACGTCACGAATTTAACTCAAACAACTTCATTTTACTGCACTGAAACTTTGGTGAGAAGATTGAGTTTCAAAACTCAATTCAATGAAAAAACCCTGCAGTTTATAGACATCAATTTGTGCAGTGCGAACACATCCTGTACAAGTTGTTGGAACAGCATTGCTACAAGTCTGCTGCAGTTTTTTATCCTTTGTACGTTTTTACGATAGGGTGTTGACTGACGCTGTACATACCATAGGGATGACTGGCGAATCACTGATGCTGTTTAGTAGTTCAACAGACCTATATAAGATATGAAATTTTACTTTAAAAAACAATGTCTGCTTGACATTGATAATCGCGTATGTTGATGAAATCAACTTACTTTGATGTTTTCCCTTCACTACTGTATTGCTCCAACAACTTTTTCATTTCTTCTACCTAGACACAGAAATACTTCGTGAAAATCCTGTGAAAGTCTCTGAAATATTCACCCCTTACAAATGAAGTCACGACACATACTGTATTTCGACATAATTGTCTGACTTCCAACATTTTCGGTGGCAAATGTTTTAAAGGCTCGTTTTAACATCATCTAAATGCTGGTGAGGCTCTGTGATCACAGTAGGAATTTTGCATATTAGGTAAATTCTAAGCTTTGAAGGATTGGTAAAAAATGTTTGAGGGGACTGATTTAGTGTTAAACAGTGAGTCAGTTAATTCCCTCAAAAAACTCTTATAAATCTTTCAAAACTTAGAATTTACCGATGCAAAATACTGTGATCACAGAAACTTTGATTGTGTAAACCGGGCTTAACTATTTTAACCGACATTAACTTGTATGCATGCGTTCCTAACATAAGTCGCAACTACGGAAACGCTATAACAAATCCAAAACGTAAAAAAGTAATTCTCAAGAATAACTATACTGTACCGGTATGACAAAAGTAACAAGAATTATTATATGACTTTTCAAAATTCTCTATTCTGATTGGTTGACAAGCGGTCCGTAAAAACCAGGGCGCTTATATATATATATATATAAGCGCGCTGGTAAAAACCCATATCCGGACCGTGGTCCGTATTTTCCGTATCTGGACCGGTGTCCCGGATGTCGTTTATCTGGCGGGAAATTTTTGCTTTGCAAACAGAAAATTTTTTTGCTTTTTAAATTTCCAATTGTGCTTTACAGATAAAAATTTCAAACAACCAAATTGTTTTTGATTGAGCATGCATGCCTACCGTATATTGTTACCCAGTGAAACTGACAATAGCCGATTTAATTCGCGCGAAAAGCATATGCTCACAAACTCAGTTCAGCCATATAATAAACCGATTATTGACCTCGCTTGTTTGGTCTGTACTGTGAAATATCAGACCTCTGTTTTTTGCATGGACCTCGCTCCTTCGTCGCTCGGTCCATACTAAAAAACCTCGGTCTGATATTTTACAGTACAGACCTCACGCTCGGTCAATAAGCCGTTATAACTTACCGAGTCAATTTCTAAAGGTTCTTGACCTAAAAAATCACAAAAGTTGAATTTTAGTTGCCAAATTATCAATTTCTGATTGTCTACCAGGGTCGGTTAGCATAATCCGAGGTTATCAAAATCTTCAACAAAATCTTCCCAACAGCTGGTTCATAAACTTGGAAATATTTTTCTAGAAATCTTTTCTGGATCAACAAAAGTTTTATTTTCTAAAGTTTTGAAATAAACAGACGTGCAGAAACACACACACAAAAACACATCATGTTAAATTTTAACCGAGTGTAGCGCTATTCCAGCTTTGAATAAACCGGCCACAGAGCTTTTTTCTTCGGTGTATAAAGTGCCGTAAACGATCTTTCTCAAAGACGTTTTGCACACAAATAACTACACAATGTTCCACATAACATACACTACAACACTTGCCAAGACCTTGGCTCACACTGTATAGCTAAAATGACCTACACTGCGCTTACATGCATGCCAAAAAATGCTCCTCCCAGAATTCTGACATTTTATTAAACAAATATTTTACCTGAATCCACAGATGGGAACGACTGCAAAAAGAAAAAAATATTTCAGCACTTCTACCATTTGTTGCTTGTCAGCATAGAAAATATACCATTACAACGTACCGTGAGTTTTGAAAGGTCACATTGATAAGGATTGAAACTAACTGACACAGACATCCACGTATCCTCTGCATACAACTGAAAGTCCAATACATCCTAAAATATTGATTCATTTCAACAACATTGTTCTTAAAGGCACAGTTCAGCCTTTTGAATGATGGTTTTTAAGGCGCATTTCGGCCCTTTTAATTGAAAAAACTACTGTAACTAGGAAAATCAATTAGGCATAATTCAACATCAGCAAACTTAATGTTTTTAACACTGATAAAAATGTTTTAAAATGTTAAAAACATTAAGTTTGCTGATCTTGCTAAATTATCTAAAATGAGCTCAACTCGTCAATCTTCGTCTTAGTGAAACAATAAGCACGTCCATTATTGCATTAAACATGGTTCAATTAACCACTGAACAGAGAACATTCGTAGTCAAAACGTTTTACGAAACAAATACCTTGCAGCAAGCTCGCGTTGCTTTTGAATTGATTATTTAACTTTGCATAATTAATGTATTTTCAATTCCCAACGGTGGAAGAATGTGATTTCGACCGACAATTTTTATTTGACGAGTATGTGGCCATTTCTCATCTTTACGGTTTGAGAAAGGTATCATAGAAAAGCTAAATAACAGCTCTTTCGTCCTATGTAAAAACTGAATTGTTTAGCTAAGTTTGTGATGCACAACAGCCTGTTGAATTTCCATAGCGTTTTTTTTTAGACACCCTGTATATATATATATATATATATAGAGAGAGAGAGAGAGAGAGCTCACCACTGAAATTTTTTTTCAAAATTCTTACGATGGAAATAGGCACATGACGTCACTACGAGTCTTAGGCGCCATCTTGGTTGATTTTAAACTTTCGTTAAGCCGTTTACAGCGAAGTAGTTGAGTTAATTTAACATTTTCTGGTTTGTTTTGAAAACATGTTACTGTATTATGGATACTTTATGGTCTTTGGCTCAATACGACAAAGAATGAAGACATTTTATACACGTGTATTTTGAAAATCAACCAACATGGCGTCGATTGCAAAAGAGCAACAGTATGGAAATCCAATTTCCATAATCCATACCATGGAATATAATATACGTTTTTCACTATTTTCTCTAGTGCACTGCTTTGAACTTGCTAAACAAAAGGCAAAAAAAACCAACCAAACCAAAAACTAACTGTATCGTCATAAGGATGTTCATCATCCATAATCTAAAAAAAATCAGACAATTATAAGTGTTAGAGTTAATCTATCTTATACACATGAAAAATGTCATAGGATTGGCGAAAATTGTCGTAAAGGGTCGCCGTGCATTACGGCAGTTTTTGCCGTCATTGCCATGGAGGGTTTTGGGGATATTCCAAGCTTGGGTATGATCACAAAAATTTAGGTAATCTGAAACAACAGTTGTCCGTGCGCATCATCAGAATTTTCAAGTGTGTAACCGTTCGTCATGACTGAATTTTTCAAAGAATGCCACAATCAAATCAGAAAACTCGCGACATACATCAGTACACCACGCCTATGTGGGAAAAGCGTCTATCACAGGTTAAAATAACGACAATGTACCTCTTCATCACTAAGAATTGCTTCATAACCATCCTGAAAAAATATAATATTACAAGTCGTGAAAGAATAGCCAACATGAAATATTACCAGCGATCCTAATTAATCACTTATTTAATTAACACTTTTATTTCAACTATACTTATTTTAACAAATTTTTCCTATTATTTTATTTTTCTCAAACGGCAAATACATTTCAAAAGGTAGCTAACTGTATAAACTAGAGAAAAAGGCTAAAACAAAGCAATTTTGAGAGGCACGCCAAAACGATTTTTGGTTTAAAACGCATTTCATACGTACGCAGCATAGAAAAAAATTGGCTCTTAACAAATAGGGCTGCAGATTAAATCCAACTGTAAATAAAAGGAGAGGCTATAGTACATCAATGATTTGGCCTATAAAGTACTTATTGGGCAGGGAATCAATCCTGGCACATACTTGTTCTAAATCTTCTTCATCTGACATGAAGAGATCAGTTGGTGATTTGTCTGGAGTGAGAGGTTCAAACAGATCATCAACAGGTTCTGGAGATCCTTTGGGAGCTTCATCGTCTTCATCCTAGAGAATACGCATTTTTGGTTTAATTCGGTGGAATTGTTCCTCAAATATACAGAAGTACAGTGCTTAGGGAAACGCTGTGCTTTTTTATAGGAGGGTCACACCGGCAGCAGTTATCCCAGTTTTCTCACATTAACATCAGACCTACAGTAAGTATCTCCTACTTATTTTTTTTTCTTGTCTAACGCCAAGCGATTTTACTCGTCAATGGGGAAGCTCTGCAGCTTAATGGGTTAACCAAAAAATATGACAATATCTTAACTCATTCAGCCGTAATGCGCCCAGTGCGCCCTTCTTATTTTTTTTACTTGTCTAACGCCAGACGATTTTACTCGTCAATGGGGAAGTTCTGCAGCTGAATGGGTTAATCACTATGAAGTTATGATGAGTGATACCACAACTGGATGGGATTCTGTTCCTTTGAGCGGGAATTTGGTCTCTAAATTCGCGATTTTACACAAATGATTTTACACAAATATATTTACTGTTTTTGTTGTGGTACGTTAAATGATATATTGCGCATGTGTAACCAATTAAAGCGTAAGAAGCACTTCTTTGCAAGCATGTGCAACTAGTTTTTACATCCCACAAGCAAAGAAGCAAATGTCTTACCGGTAGCTTAAATTCGCTGATTGCAAGTAGGGCATGTGTGTCCATTTCTAAGTGTAAACTCGATCGCGGTATCGCAACCTAACACCATGGTGTGTCGGGAAATTAGTGGTCGAATGTCTTTCGCCCTTGGGAGGTTTGCAGAACTGCTTTCGGGGATACCCAATCGCTAATTTCCCTCATATCATGGTATTACTTATAAATAATCGCAAGAATCAACTCGGACACTCAGGCAGAGCATGCTTAGAGTCTTGAACAGGGTCGAAATTTGCAGTATTCCGATATGCACAGGATACCAAAATTTGGTTCTGGATACCAAACTGTGAATGACTTGTATTCCGAGTGGATATTACAAAATTTCTAACATCAGGATTTTAGACCATTGCTTGAACATTTCTAACCTTTTCATCTTGTTCTTTTTCTCCCTTTGGTGTTGTTTCTTTCTGTTCGGTTTGTTCAGATGCTGCAGCTGGCTTGGCTGGAGATTTCGTATTATCGTCTTTCTTTGCTCTCTCGTCTGTTCTCACTTCAACAGTAGAGGACTCAGTGTCCTTCCTCACTTCAACAGCTTCTGTAGAAACGAATGGGATTGATGGTATTACATTATTACAGTACTTCAATGATAGATCAAAGTGCAAATTTGACATTAGGTGAACTTAATTACTAACGAAAAAAGTTGACGAACCTTCAGGTGTATTGACAGGACCAGTTCTTACTTCTACCAGTTTCTCCTGTGGTTCTACAGTGGGCATGGTTGGTGGTACTTCTTGTATGTTGGTGAAGAAACCATACAGACATACTGTCAGTTTTGTGTACCAACCACGAAGAACAACTACGTCTGTTGCTGACTATTTTTAAAGAAGAAACAAGACTTCAAAGTTTTGAATAGAATTCAACTTAGACTGTAAAATTTGGTTGCTTTTTCATTTAAAACCCTGAAAAATGAGCATATTTTTAATGAACTTAATTGATTTCATTTTGTATGCACACAATTTAATACTATAATTGACTGCATGGGCACATGTATACTATCAGCTCTCGCAAATATATACTGCATGTATAAATATGTATGGCTATGTAGTATTACTGCAAAATATATACTGCATGGCTATGTAGTATACTGCATGGCTATGTATTAGAGGTGTGCATCGGATCGGATTGGACGTTTATAATCCGACAATTGCCTAATGTTTAAAATCCGATCCGAAATTTCTAATCCGAATCCGATCTGATCCGAGTTTTGAAAAAGAATTCCAATTCGATCCGATCCGAAGAATTCTTTAATAAAATAAATTTCTCATTCAAGTTGAAATATTTAACCAAATAAATATAAAAGCAAGAAATACATGTCAAGAAGTTGACAAAGTGATGTCCAATTGAAGTATCAAATGAATAATAGAGCAACAACTGTGATGATGCTTTGATAAATGCATGGATAATTAATTCATGCGATAATGCGTGGATAATTAATTCATTTTATTTCGGATATCGAAGTCCGATCTGATCCGATCTGACTACGAAACAACTTTATCAATCCGATCCGATCTGAAATGAATATTTTGGTTCCGAAATCCGAACGAATCAGATCGGATTTGGATTCGGATTGGTTTCGGATCTGATTTGCACACCTCAACTATGTATACTGTTCTCGCAAATATATGTATGTATACTATCAGCTCTCGTAAAATATAATAAATTTTAACAATTATTTTTTGTGCATTAACACAAGTGCATGATTAATTTAACCCATCAAGTCGCATTAATATAACCCTGATGCGCTTTTACTCCATCTAACGCCAGACAATTTTACTCGTCAAGGGGAGAGAGCTGGCGCTTAATGAGTTAACTGACCTATCTGCTCATGTGTCTAGTTAACTCATTGAGTCGCATTGCACCCAACTTTATTATTTTACTCTGATGATTTTACTCGTCAAGGGGAGAGCGCTGGCGCTTAATGGCCGGGTTAAGCAATTTTTCAGACTCCAGACAAGACTTGTGACAAAAAGTTACCTCAGACTGGGTGGTCAAATTGAAGTTGATTACTTCATGATAATCCAAACTAGGAAAGACAATGAAAATATAAATTGTCAATGTTACTATCCATTTCCAGAGATAAATTAATCAGATTAATTTCAAATAAATTGCATACTACTCACATGCCAAGCTTGTCAAATGTTACAGCCTGGGATTTATTTAGGTTTCTGATAAATATCTCCAGCTTAAATGACGATGGATGAGTTTCACTAAAACAAAATGTAGGTTTTGAAAATTAATCATGTTTGATCCAGGGTCATCTTTTTCAAAATCACAATTTTGGGCATCTTACTCGATATAGCTAATAAATTATTCCACCTATAGACTAAATTTAGATCTAGGCAAGAACAAAATCCATCACCACAGCCAAAAAGAGCATTTTAAAATTAGTAAAATTGCAAACTTTGCCGCGAAATGTTGTAAAATGCGGAAAATATATCCCTGCGAAATTTGCAAATTTTGTATTAATTTGTATTACGCACTTTCGGCCCACATGTGGAGCATTTTTCCGCGAGTAATACAAATTAATACAAAATTTGCAAATTTCGCAGGGCTATATTTTCAGTATATTACAACATTTCGTGGCCAAACTTTGCAATTTTACTAATTTTAACATGCTCTTTCTAGCTGTGGTGATGGATTTTGTTCTTCTTGCCTAGATCAAAATTTAGTCTATAGCTGGAGTAATTTATTGTTAAAGGGATTTGTATAGAGTGGAATTGTTATACATTTATTTATTGAACCTGTGATTCCGTACATCTTGTTTCTGTGGCAGCGCATGTAACAAAGTTCAGTTCTGACAGTTGGGTATGAAATTATTTGACTCGTACTGCCGTACATAAGGCCAATGGAAGTGAGGTATCAGTTTACCGTCACCCGCGCGCGTCTGTTTTAGGCACCCGCGTGAAATTTTTCATTATTTCGTGATTTTTTCATTATTTGTCAAATTTGTATACGAAGTGTTTCAAAAATGGCTTTCTGTTGAAATTATTGGCAAATACTGACTTTGTTTATACAGTTAGCGAAGCCATAGCCTGCGTAGCGAAGCCAAGCTTGGAAGCTAGCAAAAACTGCCAAAAAGCTCAAGAATCGTCAAAATTTTCTTGGATTTTTTTCGGTCAAAATTCAGATTTTTAGCTCAAAATTTGACAAATTCAAATCGTGAAAAATGATGAATAATGAAAAAAATCCGCATCAACTTTTGAAATTTTAGGTGACGGTAAACTGATACCTCACTTCCATTGGCCTAATTGGCAGTACTAGCTGTAGAATTTGTCGAGTGCTTTATAATACTGCGTCGATATTCGCACGGGAATTGCTTTAATCCTTCAATCTAAACGACAAATATAAGTCAAATACATATCTCACTACATATTTGTTTAATTGGACACAGTATAAACGACTTACTTCTTCAACTGAACGCGATATTTCTTCAGTTAATTCATCCGCGTTGATTTGCAGCAGCTAAATAGTTTGATGAAAATCGCCTCCGTCGTTGTATCTGCGTCTCCAGCACCCAGAATTGGGTGAATTTTGCTTTCTGAATCGTATGCCGAACTTGTCGAAGCCATAACAAGAACAACAATGCCCTATTTTAAAATTTATAAGCACAATATCATATTTCTGTAATACTACGCTATAGTAATTTCTGAATTTGATGCACCCGAAATGTCACGTGACGTACCTTTCCAACATCTGAAATTAATTAGCTCGAAAGCCTTTGAAGTTTGCCGGCCTTCCAAACCCTGTCCTCTATTAACTATGCTTCACCAGACTCGCTTTCAACATCACTCTCAGATTGCTGCATTTCATATTCCTCCTTTGCCATTTTTGACAATAATTGATTTATTCTGACAATAATTGATTTTGACAATTATTAATTCATACTTCTGTTATGCCCTTCGTAAACAGCTCGAGCCCTTGTGGTTCAGGAATGTGAGAGTTGTATGGTAAAAGTGCGAGTTGTATTGTAAAAGGTTGTCGATGTTAGTATCTGGAATTTCCCTTCCATGGTAAACAATCTCCCCATGAGGATTCCAAGTTAAAATATCGCTTGATGTCGAAGTTCATTGTTGAAATGATGTATAAATTGTAGTCACAAGGCTTTTACACAAGTTCAGCCAGGCTTTCCAAAATAGGACTTAGTAATAGTCCAAGGAAACCGTTACCATGTTGAACGAGTATTTGTTTTTTCCTTTTTCCATGTTTTCCTCTATCTGCCAACCTAAGCATTCCATGTTTGTAAGTCGGAGTTTCTTCATTACTTACTTCGGCATTAAATGTTTTCTTTTCATAAAGTTTTCTGCACAAAGACACAGGCAGTGTACTTGCTCGGCGGTTGCTGTTTCCAGTATCCCTTATTGTTGATCAGACTCAGAGGTGCCCAGCAGTTCAATAAATGGCTTGTGCCTTAGTAGATTGATCATTTCTGTTCGACAGCTTGGAAGCAAATGAGTAAAACAGAACAAAAAGGTGGCTTATATTGGAAGAGAGAAAGACAAGTATCAGGTGAAAAGTTATTTGGACTAAGCTCCGAGCTGATCTAGAGTAGGCTCCGAGTTATTGAGAGCTCGGCTCCGAGCCTATCGAACTTGGCTCCATGCGAATGTCAGACTCCTAGCTGTAGACTCAGACTCCGGGCTCTAGAGTCAGACTCCTAGCTGTTGGATAACATTCTAAGATGTTGGATCATAAAGTCCACTTTATTGCCTTTATTTTCCTTAATATATATATACTTATAATTTCCAAACAGTCTTCATATAAGGGAAGATAAAGATAAAGTTTAGGATAAGAAAAATAAGCAAGATAAAGGAGATAAGGAAGATAAGAAGATAAAGATACGGAAGGATAAGGAAGAAGATAAGGAAGATAACGATAAGAAGAAAAAGATAAGGAAGATAAAGATAAGGAAGATAATGATAAGGAAGATAACGACAAGGAAGATAAAGATAAAGAAGATAAAGATAAGGATAAGGAAGATAACGACAGGAAAGATAAGAAGAAAAAGATAAGAAAGATAAGAAAGATAAGGATAAGGAAAAGAAGAAGATAAAGATAAGCAAGATAAGGAAGATAAGAAGATAAAGAAGATAAGGATAAGGAAGAGAAAAAGATAAAGATAAGGAAGATAAGCAAGATAAGGAAGATAAGCAATATAAGGATAAGGAAGATAAAGGTAAGGAAGATAAGGAAGAATACTGGATACATGCATAACGAAC